GGAAAAAATAGAGGGGGGAAAGAGAACATAAGTATATAGTCATAAGGGACCTGAATTCTAGCCTCACCCAGGTAACTTTCCAGATTTGGGTTTAATTTAGATGAAGTTACCGAGAGTTACTTGTAGAAGGGCTCATTTTCAGTTCTAAAAAGAGTGGCTTACATATTACTGTGAAAAATCTAAGACTTTATCCTTCTTATAAGGTAACAAGTTATCCTACCAGTTTCATGGATGTTGGAGAAAGACACAAGACTCCTAGGTCAGAGACAAAGAACTTTATTAATCAGGGCAGTAGCAGTAGTCAGTTTTGTGACAGTTCTGTAAGCCTCCAGTTCCCACACGGTGACACAAAGAGAGCCAGGTAACAATTGTACATGCAGTGGGTTATGTTGCAGGAGAAACCCTGAGGTTAAGGAACCCAACTTTTAAAATGAGCATAAACATGCCTGTCCTTTGCTCTGAAGGGTGATGTTATCTTTACTATGCTGAACTAAGCAAACATTCTCTGAAGGAAGACTATTACTTTTTAATTTTATTTTTCAGTTACAGTTGACATTCAATATGCAATACAGCATAATGGTGAGAGTATCATACAATTTACAAGGTGATCCCCCAATATTTCAAGTACCCACAGGGCAGCATACATAGGTATTACAATATTATCTATAATAATAAAAGCGCAATATGTAAATTGACCAAACGGCCGAACAGCGGAACAACCATCCGGACGCCCTTCCAGCCGCCATGGATGCAAGGGATCGAGGAAGCCGCCACAGCCGGCAGGCATCGGGGCTGCAAAAGCCTACTCCTGTGTAAATTTTGTGCATCGGGCCTCTAATTTACTATATTCTCTAAACTGTACATGCCCATGACTATTTTGTAACTACCAATTTATACTTCTTAATCCATTTATCTTTTTCACGCAATCCTCCAAACTCCCTCCCCTCTGACAACCCCGTTTGTTCTCTGTATCTATGAGGCTGTTTCTGTTTTGTTTGTTCATTCATTTTGTTCTTTAAAGTCTGCATATAAGTGAAGTCATATGGTATTTGTCTTTCTCTGTTTGGTTTATTTCACTTAACATAATACCCTCAAGGACCTAGAGCAGGGGTGGGCAAACTTTTTGACTCGAGGGCCACAATGGGTTCTTAAATTGGACTCAGAAGAAAGATT